GGGTTATTTTAAAAATGCGCTTTTTTTTTTTTAGATGAACCTTTAAATGAATAGTTTTTATTTAATTGGTACAAATTCATTTTTCCCATGATCCTCAAAATCTCCTGATCAGAGACATTGCTGTTGGACGTAGTTCATCGTCTTACCCAGGACGCGGATGTAGTTTATCGTCATACCCAGGATGGTTTAGTCATTTGTATTGCTTTAAATAAAACAGTGGAATGGACGCACATGTGCAAATAGGCAACATGCCAAAAGACGTACTTGTACAGTATGTGGCAATAAAAGATTTAATTTTTTTATCAGTGTGTTTATTAAGTAGCCACTGACCTCATTAGGCTATATAATGTTGAAAAAATATCAGTTTTTTGTTTGTTTTTTGTTTTTGTTTTTGTTTTTTTAACTACGAATGCTCTTGTGAATCAAGTTCACCTCAGACCTCAAGTGGAATGATCTAATGTTAAAAATGCTGGAAAAACGGTTGGTTCTTTTTATTATTCCAGTAAGTATCTGTGTCCACCTACCGTACTCTATCCCTACAAGCGCCAGATAGGACAAAAAACGGAGTATTGTTACCATGTCTACCACTATTCACTCAAATCCCGTACGCTCCACCAGCAGAGGACAAGAGCGCCATTTCTTGCGTAGGTAGAAGCATGTTTAGTCAACAACAGACTTTCGAACTGTAATATTTGTATATCCTACGAATATCATGGATATCCAAAAACTATCCCTCTGTCTCATGAGAGGTTTTTTTGTTTTTTTGTTTTTTTTTCATTACTGGCAATACTTATTAATAGCCAGCGACAACTTCATATTTAAACCGGACAATATAACGGCTAAAGATGCCTTCCAAAAGCTAAGTAGAATATTAAGAGACGGAAAAATTACGTTAAAAACAAAAAAAAAGAGTACTGAATATTACAGTAAATGCTGGACGATCTCCTCCAAAGATGAAGAAGAGACTTGCAGCAACCGAAATGTGGTTCTACAGAAAGATACTGACTATACCATGGACCAAACATGTGAGTAACGGTGAGGATTTAGAAAAAAATGGAAACAAAAAGGAAACTTATACTTAGCATCAGGAAGAGACAGTTGAAATTTCTGGGGCACGTAATGAGGAAAGAGGGCTTGGAAAATCTGATACTCACAGGACAGATTGAGAAAAAAAGGGATAGAAGAAAGCAGCACGAAACATACTTGATGAGCTTGAGTAAATGAAGAGCTACAAAGGACAGGAAGATGTGGAGGGTCATGATCGTCTAGGTCCTAAAGAGACACGACACATAAAAGAATTAATTTTTATATAACGTAATCTACTTTTCAGCAAACTGTTCAAAAGCAAAAATAAAATTGCATATTCTGTGAAAAGTCTGTAAATCCCAATGTGGAGTAAGGAGTCACAGCTCAAAACACAAGCGTTGCAGTTATGTTTTTACTGATAAGTAGGTTTTTTATGGCGTCGTGTGACTAATTCAGAGTTGTCCTTCTTACAGACTGATTAACAACCAAAGCTAAAAAACCAAATATGTCCTTGTATTATTTAACCCAGGGTAAAGCAGGGATGGGTTCATATCTTTCAGACGGATAATTGCATAGAAGAGAATGTAACGAACTTGACTGGAATTCGAACTCGGGTCACCGATGTTTCGTTTCGAGCCGTTCTCCATTTGCTTTTACCATTCAATATGCTTTTATACTAACGTGTTCCTTGATAACTGTGATGTCATGAGGATAAACACGGTAGGGAAGTAACACCCACCCAGTTTTCATGTTTTAGTTATTTATAACGCGAATGGGTAATGCGAATTTCACAGTACAGATCGATAAGACAATTAGCTAACGAGGATTTCATCGATAAACGAGGATCATTCAAAAAGTTCAAAGCCTCACCCAGAAGGAGTTGGAGAAATAAGACAATTTTTTTCACTATTTTTTTCGATATATTCCCCCTTGACGCCAATGCACTTGCTCCAAAGATGTTTAAGCATTGTTATCCCATCACAGAAGAAGGGGGCGTCATGCCCCCCCCCCGCCAAAGTTCTCCACAGAACATATTTCTGAGATGACGTATTATAACTATGTACACTATTTATATCGTTCGGACTCTTGTCATCTTAATTACCATATTCACGACGTTTCGACCGTTGTACGCTCCGACCTTTTTCAAGTGATATATGCTGGAATTTCGAGCCGGGCCTTTTATTTAGTCAAAAATGGTCCAAGAGACAGATACTAATTCTAAGCCTCACCAAGAATGAGCTGGAGAAAGAAAAAACACTTTTCACCAATATAACCCCACCCCTTTTAATATCAATTACCCTTCCTCCAAAGATGCTTAAACATTGCAATCCCATCATGGGTAAATGTGGCGTCCTCCAAAAACTCTTCCACAGAACATATGATGTTCGTCATTATTTCCAAAATGGCAACCACGTAAATGGGATTTGAGTTTCGAAAACAGGAAGAAGTCAGATAGAACTAAGTCTGGTGGGGTAAGGACGATGGGATAACAATTCAAAGCCGCAGTTAGCTTCGTCATTTAATGCAACCTGAGCAATATGAATGGGCGTATTATCCTGCAGCAAGAACACATCTGCCCTCAGCTTTTCTTTGCGTTTCGACTTGATTGCTTCCTTTAGTTGTCTAAATTCTGATGCATAATAATGTCCATTAATAGATTTTTCCCTTTTTCACGTAGTCTATGATGATTACACCTTCAGAATCAAATTAAAAAAATCAGAAGTCAACACCTTGCCAAGAGACGCTACCTACTTGAACCTCTTCGGGAGTAGAGAACCGGAGTGTTTCTACTGCTTGCTTTGAATATTTAATTGTGGTGCACCCAGGTTTCATCTTGAGTCACTAATCTGCGGTGAAAATTCTCTGGGTTGACCGGGAGGCTAGCCAGAAGTTGGCCTGGAAATATCAACCATTTTCAGCTTCTGCTCTGGTGTCAATATTCTTGGAATCCATCTTGCATGCATCGTGGAACAAACCAGAAATAATGCCTATGGATTTAGATTTCTGTTGGACAGTCATTTAAAACCATATATTGAATGGTATCAACTTGTTCATCAGTGGTTAAGCTTTTTGGACGAACTAACCGAGGCTCATTTTCTGTGCTGTCCATGCCTCGTTTGAATTCCCTAGTCACTTCTTAAAAGTTACACTGGAAGGAGAGTCCTCAACGAGTATCTGTGCCATGTACTTATGGATTTCATTGGATGTCGTACCTTTCTTTTATAGATAATTTATAACTGTTCGGCTCTTTGCTTTGTCCATTTTTAGATTTGTCTAACACCTTTCACCTTTGTGTGGGCCTCACCTGCACAGAAACTAAGAGAGAAATCTGAATTAGTTTTTCGAGTTTTATAAGAATTAGTAGTGTGTAGCTACAACAAAAATGTTCATCTATGTCTCTTCTTTCTGGGTGAGTGGTTTGGTTGATTTTAATTTTGATTGGTTTTATTTAATGCTATATCAAACTCTATGGGTTATTTAATGCCGGGATCTAAATATTTTATACGTAACTTTATGCTTTTATCTACAGATATTTTGTACAAAATTATATACTTTTAGGGTAAAGATATGTTTTTAGATATATAGTTTGTAGATCAGAAATGTATGGTTACTAATTGTACTATAAAAATGTATTTTCATATTTTTTTAGCGTTGCACTGATTGTCATTTTGCTATAAAAATGTATTGATGGTCATTTCATTATAAATATTTACAGTTGATTTTTGTCTGCTGGGGTTCATAGCTGGGATCCTACTGTTTTATCCATATCTGGAGGGGGATAAGAGAGAGATGCATACCTTTTCCAGGAATAATTGAGCGAAAGAGAATGCAACGAACTCGACTGGAATTCAAACTTGCCTTGACCATGTCTTGTTCCGAGCCGCTAAACATAACATTAGCGCTTACATACTTTTATACTAACGTGTCCCGTGACTATTGTGGTGTCACGAGGGTAAATACCGAAGGGAAATAACACTGCCACGTTTGCCAGGATTTATTTATTTATAACGCCAATCGGTATGGAAATGTTACAAATCCAAATCGATAAGACAATTGGCTAACCAAGATTTTCACCGCTATAATAGAGTCGGCAAAGAAAATGGCGGATACAGTGCTGGATTGATAGTGACTGTATCACCAAGAATCGATCATAGAACAAAAGAAAACGAAAGCATGACAAACAACGCGAAGTCGAGTGTTATTTAAACGAAAACAAACATTCCTGGTCACTAGTCATTACACCACCTGTACATTCACAATGAACACGCGATAAAAATTGACCTCTTTTTTTTTTGTAAACGAAAAAGCCCATTTCAGCAGCCGTGCAATATTCTCTTGACCAAATTAGAAGGTACCCACTTACACATTTTCTTTATTTTGATCATTTATTTGTTTCTGGTGTCTTTCAACTGTTGGGTGAGTTACATCCGGCTTGACTCCCAACGCCCGTGCGTTTGATTCGAGATTACCATTGACTGCTGTTTTTATTATTCTTCAAAATTGAGTAACGACTTGAAACCAAATCTAGATTACCAGAAGCGAATTTTTTATAACCAATAACTATCTGCACTGTTGATGTCATACTTGACCTGAGTTGAAGATAATGTCAAGAAAATTGTAGTCATATTTACTTCGATAGTAAAATATAAAAATAAACAAAAAATACATATGAAAAAAATAAGACACAAGATTATTTTGTTCTTGTTAGCGGCATATCAACACATATATAGGTTATCTAATATCAAATTTTAAGTATTTTATAGCAGTTTTATTTTATTTTGTTTTGGAGATAATTGTTTTAGTGATATATTTTTTACTAATTACCCCATAACTGGGAGAGAAGAGATGGATTCATACCTTTTCCGAGGTCATTTGTGAGTAAGTGGTTATAATGAACTTAACTGGACATGGAACTCAGCTCTCCGATGAAAAATTTCGAACCATTACTCATTAAACCAACCGCACATCCAATCTTACAGCACCCGATATTCCCAAGCGGTCATCCATTTAGGTACAGAACAGGCTCGACGTTGCTTAACTTCCGTGATCGTACGGGAAATGAAGTTTCAATGTGATATGGCCGTAAGCCAATTATACCAACCGCACATCCAAGCTTACAACACCCGGTATTTCCAAGCGGTCACCCATCAAGGATGACTGGAGATGATTCATGGAGAGGATAGCTACAGAGGATGGCTGGAGAGGAAGTCTGGAGAGGACGGCTGGAGAGGAAGACTGGAGATGATTCATGGAGAGGATGGCAGGATAGGATAGCTAGAGAAGATGGCTGGAACGAAAGGCTGGAGAGTATGGCTGGAGAGAATAGCTACAGGGGATGGGTGGAGAGGATAAATAGAGAGGATGGCAGGAGAGGATGGCGGGAGATGATTCATGGAGAGGGTAGCTGGAGAGGATAGCAGGAGATGATGGCTGGAGAGGAAAGCAGAAGAGGGGACTGGAGAGGATGGCTGGTGATGATTCATGGTGAGGATTGATGGAGAGGATGGCTGGAAAGAAAGGCTGGAGAGGATACCTGAAGAAGATGGCTGGAGTGGATGGTTGGACAGGATGGCTGAAGATGATTGATGGAGAAGATGGCTGGATATGATTGATGGAGAGGATAGCTGGAGAGGATGGCTGAGGAGGATAGATGGTGAGGATGACTGAAGAGGATGCCTGGAGAGGATCGCTAGAGGATGACTGGAGATGGTGACTGGAGAGGATAGAGGGAGAGGATGACTGGAGATGAAAGAAGGAGAAGATGGAGAGGATGGCTGGATTCTTGGTGAGGATTGATGGAGAGGATGGCTGGAGAGGATAGCTGGAGATGATGGCTGGAAAGGAAGGCTGGAGGGGATGGCTGGAGAAGATAGCTGGAGAGAATAGCTGGAGAGGATGGCTGAGAAGGATGGATTGGTCTAGAGGATGGCTGCTGATGGCTGGAGAAGATAGCTGGAGAGCATTGATGGAGAGGATGTCTAGAGATGATGTCAAGAGTATTGATGGAGAGGATGGCTGGAGAGATTACCTGGAGGATGGCTGGAGAGGATGGATGTTGGGGATAGCTGGAGAGGAGAGCCGGAGAAGATGGCTGAAGACGATAGTACGAGGATAACTGGAGACGATTGCTGGAGAGGATTGATTGGGAGGATGGCTGGAGAAGATTGATGGAGAGGACGGCTGGAGAGGATCGCTGGAGAGGATAGCTGGAGATGATTCAGGGAGAGGATAGCTGGAGAAGATGGATGGAGAGGATAGCTAGAGATGATGGCTGGAACGGATTGCTGGAGAGGATGGCTGGAGAAGAAGGCAAAAAAGGATGGTTGGAGAGGATGTCTGAAGATGATTCATGGAGGATGGCTGGGGTGGATTGTTAGAGAGGACGGCTATAGAGGATGGCTGGAGATGATTGATGGAGAGGAGGGCTTAGAGAATTGATGGAGAGGATGGCTAGTGAGGATAGCTGGAGATGATGGTTGGAGCGGATAGCTGGAGGAGATGGCTAGAGAGGATGACTGTTGAGGATAGCTAAAGAGGATGGCTGGAGGATGGCTGGAGAGAATAGCTGGATAAGATAGCTACAGAGGAAGGCTGGAGAGTATGCTCAGAGGGGATGGATGGAGAGGATAGCCAGAGAGGATAGCGGAGGATAGCTGGAGAGGATAGCGGCAGCGGATAGCTGGAGAGGACGGCTAGAGTGGATGGCTGGAGAGGATATCTGAAGATGATTGCTGGAGTGGATGGCTGGAGGATGGCTGGAGAGGATAGACAGAGAGGATGGCTGGAGAGGATGGTTCATTGAGGACGACTATAGAGGATGGCTAGAGATGATTCATGGAGAGGATAGCTGGAGAGGATGGCTGGAGAGGATAGATGGAGAGGATGGCTGGAGATGAAGGTTGGAGAGGATGGCTGGAGAGGAAGACTGGAGATGATTCATGGAGCGGATTGATGGAGAGGATGGCTGGAGAGGATAGCCAGAGCGGATGGCTGGAACGAAAGGCTGGAGAGGATGGCTGGAGAGAATAGCTGGAGAGGATAGCTACAGAGGATGGGTGGGGAGGATAAATAGAGAGGATGGCAGAAGAGGATGGCTGAAGAGGAATGCGGGAGAGGATGCCTAGAGAGGATGGCTGGAAATGATTCATGGAGAGGATTGATTTAGAGGATGGCTGGAGAGGGTAGCTGGAGAGGGTAGCTGGAAAGAAAGGCTAGAGAGGATGGCTGGAGAGGATAGCTGGAGAGGATAGCTGAAGAGGATGCCTGGAGAGATTCGCTGGAGAGGGATTGATGGAAAGGATGGCTGGAGAGGATGGTTGGAGAGGTTTGATGGATAGGGTGGCTGGAGAGGTTATCTGGTGAGGATGAGTGGAGAGCATTGATGGAGAGGATGGCTGAAGATGATGTCTGAAGAGGATTGATGGAGAGGATGGCTGGAGAGGATAGCTGGAAAGGATGGCTGGAGAGGATTGATTGAGAGGATGGCTGTAGAGGATAGAGAGGATGCCTGGAGATGATAGCTGAAGAGGATGCCTGGAGAGATCTGGCTGGAGAGGATCGCTGGAGATCATTCATGGAGAGGATAGCTGGAGAGGTTGGCTGGAGAGGATAGATGGAGAGGATGGCTGGAGTGGGAGATTGGAGAGGATGGCTGGAGAGGAAGGCTGGAGATGATTCATGGAGAGGATGGCAGAAGCGGATTGATGAAGAGATGGCTGGAGAGGATAGCTAGAGAGGATTCCTAGAACGGAAGACTGGAGAGGATGGCTGGAGGAATAGCTGGAGAGGATGGCTGGAGATGATTGATGGAGAGGAGGGCTTAGAAAATTGATGGAGAGGATGGCTAGCGAGGATAGCTGGAGATGATGGTTGGAACGGATAGCTGTAGGCGATGGCTAGAGGATGACTGGAGAGGATAGCTGAAGAGGATGGCTGGAGAGGATGGTTGGAGGATGGCTGGGGAGAATAGCTGGGTAAGATAGCTACAGAGGAAGGCTGGAGAGTATGCTTAGAGAGGATGGCTGGAGAGGATAGCGAGAGAGGATTGCTGGAGAGGATAGCTGGAGGATAGCTGGAAAGGATGGCGGCAGCGGATAGCTGGAGAGGACGGCTAGAGAGGATGGCTGGGGAGGGATTGATGGAAAAGATGGCTGGAGATGATGGCTGGAGAAGATAGCTGGAGTGGATGGCTGGACAGAATGGCTGGAGATGATTGATGGAGAGGATAGCTGGAAAGGATGGCTGGAGAGGATAGATGGAGAGGATGGCTGGAGAGGATGGCTGGAGAGGGATTGATGGAAAAGATGGCTGGAGATGATGGCTGGAGAGTATGGCTGCAGAGGTTTGATGGATGGGATGCCTGGAGAGGTTAGCTGGACAGGATGGCTGGAGGGCATTGATGGAGAGGATGTCTGGAGAGGATTAATGGAGACGTTGGCTGGAGCGGATAGCTGGAGAGGATGGCTGGAGAGGATGGGTGTTGAGGATAGCTGGAGAGGATAGCCGGAGATGATGCCTGGAGAAGATGGCTGGAGGATAACTGGAGAGGATGGCTGGAGAGGATTGATTGAAAGGAGGGCTGGAGAGGAGAGCTAGAGAAGATGGCGAGAGAGAATGGCTGGAGCGGATAGCTGGAGAGGACGGTTAGAGAGGATGACTGAGAGGATACCTGAAGAAGATGCATTGAAGTGGATGGCTGGACAGGATGGCTGGAGATGATTGATGGAGAGGATAGCTAGAGAGGATGGAGAGGATTGCTGGAGAGGATGGCTCGCGAGGATGGCTAGAGAGGATGGCTGGAGAGGATAGAGATGGTGGCTGGAGAGGACGGCTGCAGAGGAAGGCTAGAGATGATTGATGGAGAGGATGGCAGGAGAGGATAGCTAGATAGGATGGCTGGAACGAAAGGCTGGAGAGGATGGCTGGAGAGAATAGCTGGAGAGGATAGCGACAGAGAATGTGGAGAGGATAAATAGAGAGGATGGCATGAGAGGATGGCGGGAGATGATTCATGGAGAGGATGACTCGGGAGGATGGCTGGAGAGGATGCCTGGAGTGGATAGCTGGAGAGGATGGCTAGAGAAGATGGCTGAAGAGGATAGCTGAAGAGGATGCCTGGAGAGGATGGCTAGAGGATTGCTGGAGAGAATAGCTGGAGAGGATATCTACATAGATGGAGAGGATGGATGTTGAGGATAGCTGGAGAGGATAGCTGGTGAGGATGGCTGGAGAGGAAGGGTTCAGTGGATTGATGGAGAGGGTACCCGGAGAGGATAGCTGGAGAGGGATTGATGGAAAGGATGGCTGGAGGCTGTCTGGATGGCTGGAGAGGATTGATGGAGAGGATGGCTTGAGAGGATAGCTGGTGGGGATGGCTGGAGAAGCTTGCTGGAGATGATGTCTGGAGAGGATGGCTGGAGATGATTCATGGAGAGGATGGCTGGAGATGATGTCTCCAGAGGACAGCTGGTGATACCTGGAGAAGATGGCTGGAGAAGATGGCTGGAGTTGATTGATGGAGAGGATGGCTGGAGAGGATAGCTGGAGATGATGGCTGTACCAGACGGCTGGAGGGGAAGGCAGAAGATTGCTGACTAGAGAAGATTGCTGGGGAGGATGGCTGGAGAGGATAGCTGGAGAGGATGGCTGGCGCAAATAATGGAGAGGATGGATGGAGAGGTTGGCTGGAGAGGATAGCTAGAGAGGATCGCTAGAGAGGATGACTGGAGAGGATGGCTGGAGAGGCTGGCTGGAGAGGGATTGATGGAAAGGATGGCTGGAGATGATTGATGGGGAGGATGGCTGGATAGGATAGTTTGAGATGATGGCTGGAGAGGATGGCTCGATAGGATTGATGGAGAGGGTAGCTGGAGAGGATGGCTGGAGAGGATGGCTCGATAGGATTGATGGAGAGGATAGCTGGAGATGATGGCTGGAAAGGATAGCTGGAGAGCATGACGAGATGATTGAATGAGAGGATGGCTGGAGAATATGGCCGGAGTGTATAGCTGGAGAGGATGGCTGGAGAAGATTGCTGGAGAGGATGGCTGGAGAGGATTGATCTAGTGGATGGCTGGAGAGGATAGCTGGAGAGGATGGCTGGAGAAGATGGATGGAGAGGGATTGATGGAAAGGATGGCTGGAGATGATGGCTGGAGATGATTGATGGGGAGGATGGCAGGATAGGATAGTTTTAAATGATGGCTGGTGAGAATGGCTGGCGAGGATAGCTGGAGAGGATAGCTGGAGAGGATAGCTGGATATGTTGACTGGAGAGGATGGCTGGAAAGGATAGCTGGAGAGGATAGCTGTATATGTTGACTGGAGAGGATGGCTGGAGAGAATATCTGAAGTGGATGGCTGGAGAGGATGCCTGGAGATGATGGCTGGAAAGTAATGCTGGAGAGGATGGCTGGAGAGGATAGCTGGATATATTGACTGGAGAGGATGGCTGGAGAGGATATCTGAAGTGGATGGCTGGAGATAATGGCTGGAGATGTTGGCTGAAAAGGAAGCCTGTTGAGGATGGCTGGAGAAGATAGCTGGAACCGATAGCTGGAGATGATGACTGGAGAGGATAGCTGGAGATGATGGCTGGAGTGGATGGCTGTAGAGGGATTGATGGAAAGGATGGCTGGAGAGGATACCTGGAGCGGATGGATGGAGAGGATGGCTGGAGAGAATTGATGGAGGGGATGGCTCGAGAGGATAGCTGGAGACGATTGATGGAGATGATGGCTGGAGATGATGTCTGAAGATGACGAGATTGATCTAGAGGATGCCTGGAGAGAATAGCTGGAGAGAATAGAGGAGAGGATGTCTGGAGAGGATACTTGGAGTGATTGCTGGATAGGAAGGCTGTTGAGGATGGCTGGAGAGGAAGGCTGGTGATGATTGAGGGAGACGATGGCTGGAGAGGATTGATGTAGTGGATGGCTGGAGAGAATAGCTGGAGATGATGGCTGGAGCAGATGGCTGGAGCGGTAGGCCGGAGAGGATGGCTGGAGAGGATAGCTGAAGTGGATGGCTGGATATTATGGCTGGAGAGGATGGTTGTACATGATTCATTGAGATGATTGATGTAGAGGATGGCTGGATAGTTTAGCTGGAGATGATGGCTGGAAAAGAAGGTGGAGAATATGGCTGGAGAGGATTGATGGAGAGGATGGCTGGAGAGGGATTGATGGAAAGGATGGCAGGAGATGATGGCTGGAGAGGATTTCTGGAGCGGATGACTGGATAGGATGGCTGGGGAGGATTGATGTTGAGGATGGCTGCAGATGATGTGTGAAGAGTATTGATCGAGAGGATGCCTGAAGAGAATAGCTGGAGATGATGGATGGAGAGGACTAATGTAGAGGGTGGCTGTAGAGAATAGCTAGAGAGGATAGCTGGAGAGGATACTTGGAGAGGATTGCTGGAGAGGAAGGCTGTTGAGGATGGCAGGACAGGTTTGATGGAGTGGATGGTTGGAGTGGGTAGCTGGAGATGATGGCTGGAGCAGATGGATGGAGAGGTAGGCTGGAGAGGATGGCTGGAGAGGATGGATGGTGACGATAGCGGGAGGATCACTGGAGAGGATTGTTGGAGAGGATGGCTGGAGAGGTTTGATGGAGAGGATGGATGCTGAGGATAGCTGGAGAGGCTGGCTGAAGAGGTTTGATTGAGAGGATGGATGCTGAGGATAGCTGGAGAGCATAGTCGGAGAGGATGGTTGGAAATGATTGCTGGAGTTGATGGATAGAAAGGAAGGCTGGAGAGGATTGATGGAGAGGATAGCTGGAGAGGGATTGATAAAATGGATGGCTGGAGAAGTTTGATGGAGAGTATGGTTGGAGTGGAATGATGGAGAGGATGCCTTGAGAGGATAGCTGGAGAGGCTGGCTGGAGAGGATTGTTGTAGAGGATGGCTGGAGATGATGTCTGAAGAGGATTGATCGAGAGTATGCCTGGAGAGAATAGCTGGAGAGGATGGCTTGAGAAGTTTGCTGATGAGGATGGCTGGAGAGGATGGCTCGATAGCATTGATGGAGAGGATAGCTGGAGATGATGGCTGAAGTGGATAGCAGGAGAATATGGCTGGGGAGGATTGATGGCGAGAATAGCTGAAGAAGATGGCTGGAGAAGATAGCTGGAGAGGATGGCTGGAGAGGATAGCTGGAGAGCATGACTGGAGATGATTGAATGAAAGGATGGCAGGGGAAGATGGCCGGAGTGGATAGCTGGAGAGGATGGCTGGAGAAGATTGCTGGAGAGGATGGCTGGAGAGAATAGATGGAGAGGATAGCTGGAGATGATGGCTGGAGAGGATAGCTGGAGAGGATTGCTCGAGATGATACCTAGAGAGGATGGCTGGAGATGATTGATGGAGGGGATGGCTGGAGAGGATGGCTGGAGAGGATTGATGGAGAAGATCGCTGGAAATGATTGATGGAGAGGATGGCTGGAGAGGGTAGCTGGAAAGGATGTCTGAAGCTTCGTCTGTCAGCCGTCCAATATCTGGATTAATAACGATTAGAGCATTAAGGAAAAAAAGCGGCATTACTTTTCTTCATTGGAAACCAAAGTATGAATGTTGGTACCATTGCTAGCAATAACATCTATCGTTGTGAACTGGGTAATATATTCAAGGAAATATTGCATTAATTTCTACAAACGGAAAATTTAGATGAAGTAGAATGAGAACAGTGCGGAAAGACATTACTTTTCTTCATTCGATACTACGATATCCTTGTGCTCTGCAGTGATGCTATATATCTGAAGACTTTATCGCATATTGTTGCTATTGGGGAGGATGGCTGCTGCAGCGTTTGTGTGACGTCCAACTTTATTGTGCATTGCATAGTGACACCAATAACAAAAAGAAATCAGTTTCCTACCACTCCAACATGTGAGCAGTGGTGCAAAGAAAAATATCATTCAGGACTTCAGTAATGGTACCAACATTCATACCCTGGCTTCCATCTTCAAAGTCCATTCAAGAACCATCAAGAGAACAGTGAATAAGTTTAAAAAAAGGGGGAACAGTAGAGAGGGAAACTTGATCATGATGTCACAACAGCAAGAAGGGTCATCATTTCAACTTAGAGCTAAATACATTCTTATTGTTCAAAGCAGAATTCAATAGTGTTATAAAAACCTCGAATAATTCCAGTAAGATATCTTTAATCATTTCTACGATACAACGGTCCAAACTTAATCAATAATTTGACAATTTTGCTGTTACACGATTTGGATATAATTAAAATATGCCAGCCTACAAAAATCTCCTGAGCCGACCAAGCATAGAAATGAATAAAATATGGGAACCAGTAATAAGGAGTGCCAGAGGAAAGTGATAATAAAAACAAAATTTGCAATATGAGCACTGGTAAAAATCGTTGCTGAAGACATTAGGTTTATAATACCCAGAAATTCATACACAGATGTCCTCAAGGACATATGGCACAGTGGATAAAGAGGTTAGTTAGATCAAGTGACAGGACTCAAAGAGTGTGAGTTAAGGCAGTGGAGAACTTTCAGAGGGAAATTAACAGGTGATAACTGATAACTGACATCCATTAGAGATGACACGTGGAACTAGAACAGTCTATCCCAGTGAGCGAAATAAAGGGTTCAGTTCGACAGTCCAATCACTTGAAGAACGCCGGAGCGTACAACGGCCGAAACGTTGTAATAAATATGGCGACAAAGTTGAGGACAATAGTCCGATTAATGTAAATAATGTACATAAAATTATTAAATCATGCTTATCGTCAATTTTCAATGAAAGACGCACATATATATATATATATATATATATATATATATATATATATATATATATAATACTCCAAATATCATTTTTGAATCCGACGATTTATCACAAATTGTTGATATCCATTTTTGTATAGACGCGCTGAACTGAGATGCTATCTGTGGTCGAGAGGATCCGACGATTTATTGCGTATTGTTGATATCCATCTTTGCGTTGGTGCGCTGAGATGTGATGAGCACACTGGATTCATCGGTTTATCGCATACTGTTGCCGCTGTAGCATGGCTGGAGCAGTGGCCGATGACTTGTTGAAGCCGTAGCTTATTATAATATCTGGCTGGAAGTTCCACTGGAACAGAACGGCACTTTGTCTCCTCGACATTTTCGCTGCAGAATACTGAGAAATCATTACAACGATCGCTGGTTGCTTCTTCGTCCGCTTGATTTTTTTAAGACATAGGAGTGCCGACAGGATACGACAGATGTTCTTAAGCAAAGACGCCTCTGTATTTTACAAGTCCTGACTCTCTGGGGACATTTTAAGGAATCTCTTTCTTTGAGAGGATCACGATGATGAAATGTCGGGTAATTGAAGAGAAGTCAACAGACGTAATTAAAATTGCTGGCGCTAACATCTCTCATTGCGGACAGGGTGACATATTCAAGGAAGTATCGCATTAATTTCTACAAACGAAGCATTTAGATGAAGTAACGATGAGAGCAGCGAGTAAAGAAAGCATTTGTGTTCTTATCAAAGGGTTTGTGTGTTTCTAGAGTGAGGAAAATGCACGGAATGTAATAACCAATTTATACATCTATTTACCAATTGCCTAAGAGGAGAAAACATGCAATGTAATCATTAGTGCATACCTTCTTATACATATATATATATATAGGTACTGTAAAGGTTTACATATATATATATATATATATATATATATATATGTTTTTAGTCTTTTCTTCTTTTTTTTCTGATTTTCCCCCTGATACCAGTTCGTTTAAATATATTTTTATTTACAAATTATAGTATACGGTTTTTTTCACACCAGCAGCGTATATATATATATATATATATATATATATAATTTTTCAATTATAAAAATTTATATATATATATATTTATGTATGTATATATATATTTGTATATATTCAACATGTGTATTCATGCGTATGTGTGTCCACACACACACACACATATTTATATATACATATACATATAGTATGCGATGGATAAATTGTCGTCTAAATTACGTTTTAACATATATATTTAGCAAAATTACAGAAAAATATCCTGAAATACTAAATACTAAATTTATTCAACAAAATCAAGGAGTTTTGTTGGTCTCTCTCTCTCAACTGTGCCCCACACATCATAATCAAAAGGGGTGAAGTCTGCGAGTTAGTTGGCCAGATGTAAGGGATGATGTGATTGTAGAAATTGTCAGACATCCATAACTGGGTCCTCCTGCTTGGGTGGGTCATAGTGCAGAGCCTGTTGCCAGACCTAGTATCATCCAGCAGCCACCCACTGGACTCAGAGCATCACTACCTCCTCAAGGAATTTGATGTCGGCCTCCATGTTGAATCTGGAGGTCCCTCACCAACAAATTGCGGTGTTATTTTCTAATCAGAACGATCAGAGTGAGTTTTCCGAGCTGTTGTAAGTCTGTAATCACCATTAGACATCCCTTTCTTTTCCGAATTCACTGCACTGACCTCACATTGACTCCCAGACACTCTGAAAAATGTTCGTATTGTAGCATTCGACGCGAATGCAAAGCAATACAGCATACCATTTCCGTAGACGATACCCTATTATAACGGGCAATCAACAAACAAAATTTCAGATATATATATATATATATATATCATATATTAAACTCTTTCTATATATATAGAGAGAGAGAGAGGGGATATATATATATATATATATATATATATATATATATAAGAATAAACTATAAATGTATATGTAACAACTACATATATATTTATATATTTCACTTATATATATATATATACATATATCATATATATGTTATCATCCTATACATTGATAAGCATGTGTGTCACCATATGAGCATGTGATCGTGTGTATGCATAAACTCTTTCTATATATATATATAGAGAGAGGGACTATATATATATATATATATATATATATATATATATATATATATATATAGATATAATAACTACATATATATTTATATATTTCACTTGTATATTGATGTAGGGATGTGTCATATATATATATATATATATATATATATATATATATATATATATATATACGAAGAGCTTAATATGCATGTTATAAAACACACACACACACACACACACACACACACACACATATATATATAAATATATACATAAAATATTTAAAATAATATATAAAAATGAATTAGTAAATCACTATACAATATGTCCAATGTACACATACATAAAACCGTCCGCCTTTCTTTCAGTACATTACATTAGGTTACAAGATATTAACAACAGTCGTACTCACTAACCAGACATATTTATTGATCGGTTTAAAAACCTAAGTATAGATACACTATAGATAGTATAGATACACTTTTTTATACATGATCTTTCAGGTCACATGAACCTCAACATATTTCTGTTTTATGTTGATGATTCTGTAGTTGTTTGATTTTGCCCTCTTTACGATTTGAATATTCTTCAAACTCTTAAACAATCAGTTCGCTCAATCAAGCACTCTACAATAAATATTCAATAAAAACACTGTAAAAATCAGCTATAGTTGCACTTAGAACATGGCACAAATAATGAAAAAGCACAACAGAAAAACTATCAACAAACCACCCGAACAAATTAAACCCATGTGTAACTGTAGAATAAAGAATGAATGTCCTTTAAATGGTAATTACTTACAAAACAATGTAATATAACAATCCACAGTAAATTTACCAGATAATGAAGAAAAAGTATACATAGGAGTAAGTGAAGGACCCTGAAAACAACGAAACTATGCACACAAAACATCTTTCACAAATAATAAATACGCGAACAGCACAATGCTTTCTAAGTATATCTGGGAAATTAAAAACAAAACACAAATCACACCAAAAATATTATGGAAAATAAGGAAAAGATCATCAGCCTACAACAATTAATCAAAAAACTGCAAACTTTTCTTGGAGGAAAAAAAAGCTATTATTACCTTCCCAGACCAAAAAAAAATTACTAAATAAACGATCTGAGCTCATCTCAAAAAATGCAAACATGAAAACAAATTTTTACTACGTTAATTAAAAATCGAAAACTGAAATGAATAAATACAAATAAATAAAATAATATAAAAAGTAATGAAATAAATTAACCCATACAAAAAATATACAAATTAACAAATCACCCCCGTTAGAACAGACGAAATAGAATAAATAAAAATAAAAAATAAAATACATAAAAACAAGTAAAAAATAATCAACCCAATAAACAAATAAACTAAATAATAATAAACAAATTAACAAACCAATCCTCCAAAATAAAATTAGAATAGACTACAACAACCAATCCAAAAATTTGACGTAAAAAATTACTATAACTGCTATATAACGATAAAAAAAAAAAAACCATTACTACGTCACTCAAAAATCGAAAACCAAATAGATTAAATAAAATACACAAAATAAAAAATAAGTAAATAAATAAAAAACAAATGAAAATTAATCCAAATAAATAAATGAACAAAGTAACAAATCGCTCCGCTAAAATAACCGTTAGAACTAATAAAAGCATAAATAAGCAAAACAA